ACTGTAAACGGACAAGCGATGATAACCTTTTGATTCAAACGTATCCATGGAACTGAACGCATACACAATTATTTGCTACCCTAGCACTGATCTGCAACAAGCGCACAATTCGCTCGGAAACACCGCGCGCACCTCAATTACAAATGAGGTCATGGATTGACTGAACCATTATTCTGCGATGCACCGACTCTCTATGCTTCAAGTTAGTTTGCGTTGAGCAGCTGGTTAAGCTAGGGTTATGGTGAGTAATACCATGGAGCTTAGATAGTGATGTGAATCGCGGCCTATGATTAATACCAAGAGGAAGATGCCGTAGATCACTGTCTCAGTATGTATCCATGCTAGACTCCGCTTGAGAAGGTAGCAATAGTAGCATAGCACAGGTCATGATGAGTACAATATTGTAATGTGCAACATGCGAAGTTATCGTGAAACACAACCGAGTTAAATAAGCCTAGTAGAGTTAGGTTAGCTGTGGCTCATCCGTTCTAGGCATGTGCAATAAGGATACTACATTGCAGCATTCAGTAGTTAATCATTCTAGAATGAAATTGCACCCAAGCCCGATTTACATGCGGTATATAGAGTAACGATGACACCAAAAAAGAATGACGGAGATGGAGTAAATAACTTTTCAAGTTAGCAGGGAAATAGTGCGATTATATCCACTGCAGGCTATCCGTGTCGTAAGGCAAAACCAGAGCTCAAAATTGAATTTGGAGAATCCGCTGGTGGTTGGGTTGCTACAAGCAACCTCAATTGAGACCTCGGTTCACTTGATGTGGACCTCGGCCATTCCGATCAAAAAGACCGTAAGTAAAATGAAAATTATAGTGTTGCTCATCCCAACACCGGCACCCCAAGACCGCGGTTTCGTCCTGTTAGGACTCATCAGTTGGAGATAGCCTGAGTTGGGCTGGAACTCAGAGCCTAGTGGCTCATGGTTGACGCCATAAGCACTATGCCACTGAGATCCACGAGCAACGCTTGGTCCAGCGGAAAAGATTGCAAAATTGAATTTGGAGAATCCGCTGGTGGTTGGGTTGCTACAAGCAACCTCAATTGAGACCTCGGTTCACTTGATGTGGACCTCGGCCATTCCGATCAAAAAGACCGTAAGTAAAATGAAAATTATAGTGTTGCTCATCCCAACACCGGCACCCCAAGACCGCGGTTTCGTCCTGTTAGGACTCATCAGTTGGAGATAGCCTGAGTTGGGCTGGAACTCAGAGCCTAGTGGCTCATGGTTGACGCCATAAGCACTATGCCACTGAGATCCACGAGCAACGCTTGGTCCAGCGGAAAAGATTGCAAAATTGAATTTGGAGAATCCGCTGGTGGTTGGGTTGCTACAAGCAACCTCAATTGAGACCTCGGTTCACTTGATGTGGACCTCGGCCATTCCGATCAAAAAGACCGTAAGTAAAATGAAAATTATAGTGTTGCTCATCCCAACACCGGCACCCCAAGACCGCGGTTTCGTCCTGTTAGGACTCATCAGTTGGAGATAGCCTGAGTTGGGCTGGAACTCAGAGCCTAGTGGCTCATGGTTGACGCCATAAGCACTATGCCACTGAGATCCACGAGCAACGCTTGGTCCAGCGGAAAAGATTGCAAAATTGAATTTGGAGAATCCGCTGGTGGTTGGGTTGCTACAAGCAACCTCAATTGAGACCTCGGTTCACTTGATGTGGACCTCGGCCATTCCGATCAAAAAGACCGTAAGTAAAATGAAAATTATAGTGTTGCTCATCCCAACACCGGCACCCCAAGACCGCGGTTTCGTCCTGTTAGGACTCATCAGTTGGAGATAGCCTGAGTTGGGCTGGAACTCAGAGCCTAGTGGCTCATGGTTGACGCCATAAGCACTATGCCACTGAGATCCACTTACGGTCTTTTTGATCGGAATGGCCGAGGTCCACATCAAGTGAACCGAGGTCTCAATTGAGGTTGCTTGTAGCAACCCAACCACCAGCGGATTCTCCAAATTCAATTTTGCAATCTTTTCCGCTGGACCAAGCGTTGCTCGTGGATCTCAGTGGCATAGTGCTTATGGCGTCAACCATGAGCCACTAGGCTCTGAGTTCCAGCCCAACTCAGGCTATCTCCAACTGATGAGTCCTAACAGGACGAAACCGCGGTCTTGGGGTGCCGGTGTTGGGATGAGCAACACTATAATTTTCATTTTACTTACGGTCTTTTTGATCGGAATGGCCGAGGTCCACATCAAGTGAACCGAGGTCTCAATTGAGGTTGCTTGTAGCAACCCAACCACCAGCGGATTCTCCAAATTCAATTTTGCAATCTTTTCCGCTGGACCAAGCGTTGCTCGTGGATCTCAGTGGCATAGTGCTTATGGCGTCAACCATGAGCCACTAGGCTCTGAGTTCCAGCCCAACTCAGGCTATCTCCAACTGATGAGTCCTAACAGGACGAAACCGCGGTCTTGGGATGAGCAACACTATAATTTTTATTTTACTTACGGTCTTTTTGATCGGAATGGCCGAGGTCCACATCAAGTGAACCGAGGTCTCAATTGAGGTTGCTTGTAGCAACCCAACCACCAGCGGATTCTCCAAATTCAATTTTACAATCTTTTCCGCTGGACCAAGCGTTGCTGCACGAATTAAACATGAGAAATTACCTACGTAGAGAAGTTGGCTAAAACGAGTTGCAGTGAACACTGCAAGAAAGCGGTCATTCCGATGCCGTATAATCAATCTGCTAGCGACTGCACTGTGGTCAGAGTTTAGGCGAATTCACTCTAGACGCTTAACTGGAGTATTACAGGATCTTAATCACCCTTATCATTCCCAAATATTAATTCATATATCCGTACTCCACCGAAGCATCCGCAGAAGTATCGGTGTATTGACGGTTTATAACAAAGAGACCGTTTTTATTCTGTAGCCAAAATGTTATCACCAGACTGCTTTCAGATGGAAAAAGTCACAAACCAACTCATTTCAGCGGAACCTAGCGGACAGCAGCATGCGCAGTCTAACGATGCGGACATTGAGTTACTGCCGGTTGGAGAACTAACTGGTCCGGGATACGCGGAAGTCATGGTCTTGCCATTCAAAAAGTGCAAGGTGGCACAGCCAAACTCGGATAAAGTTCATGAAGTAGCCCACTATTATTATTTCACATACGCTGCACACTTTCAAAGCATCGCTACATGCACACTAACCACTTGGCAATCACCTGATCCTTGGCTTGACTGTAACCTTAAGGCTCACAAGCCACGCTTGTGACACCAGACAGCGAGTCCGAGCCAGCGTAAAAACCGGGCAAAGCACGCAGTATCCACATACAATGTGAGACTGGTGGTGGTTGCGCGGCAGCGAAGCGTCCGTACGCAATACTGATGTACTGCTGATGCCTCCTACTTGAACCTTGACGATGATCGACCGAAAGCAGTTGACCAATTCACCTAACTTGGTAGCTGCTTTAACAGCAATGGACGTGACTACCGAGGTCAATTCATCACAGATTATGAAGCTGGAATTACATTCCTGAGCCTGTGGTACAAGAAGGGGTCTCTCTCTGGCAGAAGAGCACCGTGTACAGGACAACAGCGATTCTTTGCACCCGCACTGTGAGGACCCGAGGCGTCTTCCAGTCTTTGATCAACACTGCTTACGGAGCATCGATGGTGTCGGTCAGCTCCAACATGTCTGCAAACGGAAGGTGAGAAGGCAATGGTAATCAAGTCCGTCCGTTAGGCAAACCAGTTTTGCTGGAAGCATATCATTTATCCGTTTCATCCTATTAAAACTCGTTAATGGTGAGCATCCGCGGATTCATACGGAACCGAGACCATGACCGCTCAACACCAAAGACTTGCACTATCAGCCGGCTTATTATGTAACCAGGTTACGGGTTAAGACAGCAATTCGTTATGACTTGCAAGGCAACTGCAATGCAGCGCGACTCAGGCTCCACTACCATGTAAGTTACGAGAGTTGCGGAGGACGCGGATGGTCCGCAGAGTCACGACTTCCCATAGCAGCATTAACAGCTTTGTACGATATGAAACTTGAGATGAGCATTGATTCCTAAGGGGAAATGGAACCACTGGACATTAGTATCTGCCTGTTGGTCCACCTCACTTTCCAGGTTGGTATAGATTTGAAAAACAGAACAGCAATAGTAAATTGTCTGTAATCGTCCCGCCGTCAATAATATTTATTTAACATGAAAAATCCTCTGCGGAGAGAAGTTGGCTGAAACGTGTTGCAGTGAACACTGCAAGAAAGCGGTCATTCCGATGCCATATAATCAATTTCCTAGTGACTGCACTGTGGTCAGAGTTTAGGCGACTCCACTCTGGACGCTTAACTGAAGAATTTAGGTCTTCCCCCCCCCACACTTATCATGCCCAAATATTGGTTCATATATCCGTACTGCACTGAAGCATCCGCAGAAGTATCGGTGTATTGAAGGTCTATAACAATAAGACCGCTTTTATCCTGTAGCCAAAACGTTATCAACACGACTGCTTTCAGATGGACAAAGTCACAAACCAACTCATTTCAGTTGAACCGAGCGAACAGCGGCAGCAGTAGCAGACACAATCGCAGTAACCAATCTCTACTGACCTACCCGAAATGATGTAAAGCAATGGTGATAGCAATCAGGAGTGCTCGTCCACATCCTGCATGGAAGATGTGGGACACACTGACTGAGGTGAGGTAAACGGCAGTGCTGCGTACAAACTAAGCATGCAGCAGATGCGGGACACCTGTTGACGAAACCTTCCAGCGAGCATGGGTTCGGTTCCCTGTAGGAAACCGCGGGAATGCGTACCGCTGACAAGCCATAATAGGGTGAAACGATCGGCTAGTGACTTGGAGGATTAACGAAGACGCTCGCTTCCGAACTGCTAGGCGAACAAACACAATTGTATACAAATACCTCCTAACCAAAAGTAATCAAAGCATAATGTCTATCCGTCAATTGCTGAACTACGATGAACAAAGGAAGACAATAAGCTGCGTGAGAGCGAAGTAACGGTATATTATTGGAAACAAGGAGGAAAGACGCGAGACCGAAGTTATGAGTAGAAACGTTTTTTCAAACCTAGCAAACCAGAGAATCCACCACAACAAAGCAAAATGAGGGTGGCTCCATGACCGTAGATACGAAAACGCATCATGCGACGAGATCTCTCTATTTCCTGTAATGCGTTCAACCGTATGCCATTAATCAGAAAAAAACCAGTAAGCACTATACCTAGAAAAAAAGATGTGAGGGAGACATTCAAGTATGCGTTACATGCGACGATTTCCGGTTTCTTCCGCGCATAACGGGAGAAGAGTTGGAAACCCGTTACAGGCCCATCCAGCCTTTCCTCCATAACGCGTATAAAGCTAAAAGGAAAAAAGGTGAATTATTGATCGAGCAACTTCATTCGGGATGATGGGAAAAGGGAGAAAAAACAAGGTTCAACTCCGCAGTGACATCAAAAATCGAGGACGTAAAATGCAGTGGCAATAGATAGAGAGATAGAGATAGATTGAATAGCACTCATAATTAATTCGACGCCACTTAACGTGAACGCGAAAGGCACACCAACTCAGGAGCGTAACTAAATTGCGGCAACAGGACACCTAAATCAGAAGTAGGAACGAAGCTGGCATAACTGAATCGCTACCACAGTGTGAGCACACCAGTGTGTCAAGTAGCCTGCCGATAGTCAAACCAAATCCGGATGACGGTCAAATTCCATTATAGAGGAATAGTAGGAGGGAGTTGGATGGTATACATAGAAATTCGTCACATTTAGACTCACTCAGATAGCCATCACACGACCGGAAAAGACTTTTACGCACGTTTCATCTTTCCGGGAATGCGATAGAGCACGAATGCAATAGCATGCTTGTGTGTAAAGCACTCAACACCGGACGTCTGCGTGCGTGAAGAGGGCACGGCGAGATAAGCGATGAGCAGGCATGCGGAGAACATGCCCAAGCCACTGAAGTCTGCGCAGTGAAAGTATACTGCTCAGTGGAAGGCAAAGTCTGTCTGATCTGAAGATCCTTCGTAGAATATCTTCATTCCTAGTGTGATGTTTCCATGGTACACCAGCAATGCTCCGAAGGCACCGATGATCAAAAACAGACGGCCTCTCCACATCCTTTGCGCGAACAGGCCAAGTCTCGCAGCCATAGAGGAGAAACTGCCCTCCCTGTGGCATTGTAAACTCGGCCCTTCAGAGATAGACTCAGATCACCTCGACGCCAAAGATGGCGGAGATTCGTAAAAGCAACCAGAGCTTTGGAGACGCGCAAAGAGACCTCATCCGTTAAACCATTAACGCTGAGGCAGTTTCCGAGGCAAACGAACTTGTCTACCACTACCAATAAATGACCTAGAAGAGTAAGCTTGGAAGCAGTGCCTGTCCAGTCCTGCAGGGAAATCTTATTTCGATGTTGCGAAGGTCATCCAAAACTGGGAGACAGACATCTCCAATCTACACAGGAGATTCTGGGTGGCCTGTGAGAAAGCACAGATTGCGGAGTTGTCGTCTGCGTACCCCAAATCCTGAAGTCAGGCCCCCGGAAACAGTTCGACGCCGCTGGGTTCGCAGTTCTCCAGAGCACTCTCCAAGATTTCGTCTATAGCGAAATTGAACAAAAAGGAGAATGCTGATCAACCCCGTCTTACGCCACAGGTGATATCAAAAAATTGGCAAAAGTCCGCCGTACACCCGCACTCGGCAGGGGATTTGAGAGTAAATGGCTTGAAGTAAGGTGACATCATCATCATCATTACACGTTAGCTGGAGGTGTAAAACACCTCAGCTATTGCGCCGCAATACAAAAGACAAGAAAAGGAAAACAGTGGCACACCCGCTGAGTCCCCAGTAACGGATGGACATCGTTCCGGAGAGCTAACAGCCGGTTGCCGTGAAAAAGAGGATCATTTTATGCCAAACAGGTGAGATCGTGATTGGAGGGGGATACTAAGCAGGAGGGGGATGGGCAAAGGAAATCACAACACAAACGCCATTGGTGCCGGCTCCTAGCCATATCAGCAAGTGTGTCCAACCAAACGTGTTCATCGTCCTTAGGACCGCAGCCAGGCAGTCGCGATGCACCAACCGACGCCAACTTTGAAGTGAGGGTTTTCATTTCTCTCGACCAAGTCATCACTTGGCCTCCCCTCCTCCTCTTCCAACCGAACCCACAACGCGCAAACAATGCACGTCGCGGGAGTCGGTGTGCTGGCATGCGCAACACATGGCCCAGCCATCGGAGCCTGGTGCGTGATATAATGGTGCTGAGCGGTTCACTCGTTCTGCCTGCACCAAATACGCGACGTCGAACACGCTCATTGCTCACGCGGTGTTCCCACCAGACATGAGCTAAGCTGCGAAGGCAGCGATGGTCGAATGTGACGAGTCTCTTCATGTCAGTCGACCTGATGGGCCAGGTTTCACAACCATATAAGAGAGTAGAACGGACGGCTGCGTTGTAAACTCTGCCTTTCAGGGCGAGAGTAATATCGCGTCTACGCCACAGGTGGCGGAGATTGGCAAAAGCTCCTCGAGCTTTTGCTATGCGGTTCGTAACCTCATCTTCAATCCCACGGGTGCTAATATAGCTGCCCAGGTACTTGAATTCCTGAACGACTTCTAGCAGATCACCACCAAGCGTTAGCGCAGGGTTGGGTCCCTGCCAATCTTGGAGAAGTACTTTGCACTTCTATGGAGCAAAGCATAGCCCAAAACGATTGACAGCCAGTGCTAATTCGTCCATTGCAGCCTGGCACGTTTGGGTGCGGTCACGTACGAGGGCAATGTCGTCTACATACTCCAAGACAAAAAGTCGCTCACCAGGAAGTAGCTCCACATCTTTTAGGTGGTGTCCAGCGAATGCTGTTTCTATGACTTCATCAATAGCGAAGTTGAAGAGGAAAGGTGACAGCGGGCATCCTTGTCTCACGCCGCTGGTGATACTGAAGGGTGGCGACAGTTTGCCATAAACCCTCACCCTGCCCGAACTATGCGCGTACAGCGCTTTGATAATGTTTACATATTTATCAGGCACACCTTTCCTCAGCAGACAGTCCCAAAGGGCACATCGATCGACTGAGTCGAAGGCACCTTTTATGTCAAGAAACACGACAACGGTGGGTCGCCAATAAACATGGCGGTGCTCCAACACTTGACGCAATGTGAAGATGTGGTCGATGCAGCCCCGACCTCGAGGAAATCCGGCTTGCACTTCACGAATCTGGCTTTCACGAGTGCCAGTCAATCTGTGGAGAATGACAGAGGCAAGCAATTTAGAGGCAATCGAAATCAGACTGATCCCTCTATGATTGCCACATTCCAAACGAGAGCCTCCCTTGAAAATTGGGACAATGACGGAGCGGTTCCAGTCTGTCGGGACTGTCTCCTGCTCCCAAAGTCCTACTAGCAACTCGTGTAGATCATCTGCTAGAGCAGGTCCCCCGAATTTGAAGAGGGCTGGGGGAATTCTATCTGCTCCTGAGGACTTATGCAATTTCAACAGCCGGATCTCACGTTCGACCTCTGCGCGCGAGGGCGGATCCGAGGAGACGGCCCAAGGAGAAGGGCGCTCAATGCCCGAAGAAGAAAGTGATAACGCAGGTTTGTTAAATTGCCTTGCAAAGTGTTCGGCCCAACGCTCCAAGCGTTTTGACAAGCTGTGGATCGGCTGCCCACTCTCGTCGCGTATGGTCTCGCTAACACCAGGTCTCCTGCTGCCTGTTTCCCGTATCAGACGGAATAACTTACGATGATTACCAACGGCAGCGGCTGTTTCCATCTCAGAGGCACGATGAGACCACCAGGTTTCGCGGTCCTTCCTAAGGATAGCACGTAGTTTTGCCCTGAGATTTTTGCGAGCCTCATTGTATTCGCTTCCAGCCGGAACACGTCGGCCAGCATCCATAAGTTCCATAGACTGTGTAGAGACCCAATGTCCGGTTTGGCAATTTGCTTTGCCACATGAAGACATGTCTGCTGACAGTAACGTTTGACGAATATGCAACCAGTGATCTTCAACGGTGTTTAGTGGGCGCTAACTCAGCCCAGATGTCAGCGCACTATGGTATACATTCATAACATCTGGCTTCGCCAGTTGGCTGGTGTCAATCCGTTCACATCGACGTTGCGGACGTCCACCGAAACGCACCCGGAGGTCGGCACAGACAAGTGCGTGGTCAGAGTCCACGCTCGTGCTCCAAATTGAGCGACAATTTCGGACACATCCCCTCCAGCGGTAACTGATCGCGATATGGTCGATTTGTGTCCATGGTTGGCCCGAGGCTGATGGCCGCCAAGTCACGCTTCTGCGGGTGCTGTGCCGAAAGTTAGTGCTCGCGAGAAAGAGGCGAGCATCTTCACACAGATGTAGCAATCGCTCACCATTATCATTACGCGAGCCTACACCATGTTGGCCGCCCAGATGAAACTCATCAGAGGACAACTTTCCGACTTGGGCGTTTAGATCACCAGCCAAGATCACAGTATCCGTGCTTCTTCTGTGACGAAGGAACTAGTCAAGTTGCTGATAGAAATCGTCTTTTACCGAATCAGCGCTACAGTTTGTAGGGGCGTAAGCCGCAATGACAAACAGGCACCGTTTGTCCCAGCGCGACTTCGTAGCACGGAAGGAACCAGCTAATCTAACGGCGCACATTCTACTGTTTATGGGGTCCAATCAATCAGGGCAGCTTCAGCCCGGGGACTCAAAACAATGCCGACGCCAGTTTGACCGGCATTTGAAGCTGCATCATCGCCAGACAGGCGCAATGAGAATGTGCCGCCAGTGTCGCATGTGGGGGATCTCAGGGTAAGTACGGAGCTCGAATCTTGCAGACGGGTTCCTGATAAACAGCAAATATCGATCGATAGGGTCTCTAGTGTGCGGGCAAGTGCTGCCTGTTGGCCAATCTGCAGCAAAGTGCGCACGTTGAAGCATGCCAGTCTTAGCGAGACGAGAGGACTCCAAAGGGAAACGGATGAACTGACGTTGTCCGCTTGCTTGAACATGAACTTGTCGACTGGATTGGAGCGAGGCCCTGGGATTGTGTGTGATTTGAAATTAGAAGACAAGCGACTACTGAAGAAAGCTGGGGGAGGGCCAAGAATTGGGGGATTGAAAATGGGGGGATATAAGTAAATTTGGAGCGGGGCGATAAGGATGAAGAAGCGCAAGAAGGAGTATAAGAAGACGGGAAGGACTGAGCAGTAGCATCCTCCTCCGCATCCGATGGTGGTGAAGCGTCTACACACTAGGGAGCGCGCTGGGCTACAGAATAAGAATTCATTGGTGCTGCTGGCCAATTAAACTGCTGCACAAAGTGATCGGCCCAACTCTGAAGTCGGTGTTTTTG